TCTGAGATCTGATAGCAGATGCTGCGGCCTGGCGAGTGGCTCGCCTCGCTGCGTCATCGTCGGGCGCGGGGGAACCTGCGGTCGCCGCGGGATCTCCGCTGGCCGCGGCGCCACTGGAAGCCGCTGGGGCATGGGCCGTCTCTCGGCCTGGAGCTTCAGGCCCGCCGCCGCCGTCGGGGGCAGCTGCCGCGGCTCCATCTTCTCCAGCCTTGCAAAGCTTCTTCTGTAGACGCTGGAAAAGTTGGCTGCGCTCGCCCTTGAATGCCTTGACCTTCTCGAAGGCTTCCCCGAAGAGCGTGGCCACCGCAGCGCGAATGTCCGACTGTAGATGCTCGAGTCGTTGTTTGGCCGCCTTCTGAATAGATTCGTCGACTTCGCACTCATCTGAAAGGGCGCCTGCCATCGGCCCATGATACATGGGCTATTCTGTGACATCACCAGAAATGATATCACCGATGCTGATGACAGTCGGCTGCTGGGCGCCTCCAGTCTTCTCGTTGAACGCGCGAACAAAATCTCGTGTGCTCAGCTCCTGCCGAGTCAAATTCGTCCGAAACCTTCTTGGCCCATTCGAACTGGGCTGCGAGCTGCACCTGCAATCGCTGGTGGTAAGACACTGATTTGAGAAGCTTCGGCTCCAAAGCTCGCACCGAGTTACAGGCGCTAGAGACCTGATGCTGGAATGTCGGCTTCTTCTCGTCCTCCGCGACGGCCTGCACTTTCTTCGGCTCTAGAATCCGCGGGTCGCCCTCGGCGCACTCGGCGTCGTCAATCTTCTTGAGCACGTCGATGGTCTGCTGCATCTCTTACAGGGAAACGTTAGCAGCGATTTTGGGAAGTGGTGCAGGGGCGTCGTTCGACATGGATTGCGGCCCAGGGCGCGCAGGAAAAAACGCCAGAAGGAGGCGTGCCCTGCGCACCTGGGCTTGGACGGGCGGGCGGAGGCGGGACGTGGCCGCGCCGCGCGGCCCCTCCACCTGCCAGGCGCCCCCCCGCCCCTGCACGTGGCTCCGCGCGCCGCCCGCCTGCCCTGGGCGGGACCGCGACTGGTGCGAGCCCGAGGGGAAATGCGGCGCACTGTTTGCGGGCAAGGTTCGTATCCATATCCAGTGCGTCGTGGATTTTTGAAAAGGAGCGTCGCAAGGCCGAGGCGCACTGGACATGGATAAAATCAAGCCTCTAGGGTGCAATTTTATCCATATCCAGCGCGCCCCTGGTTTCTGGGGAAGGGAACCGGACCGTTGGCCCACTGCCCCTGAGGAAGGTGGCCCCATCTGCGGCAGCGACGTTCCGACGGGGTGCACGACAGTCCTCACAGTGACGCCTTCTCCCCGAGTTGCACATGCAGCCACGTGCTTGACAGGGCCAGCGGGGCAGATCCTCTGGCGGCGCCACGAGAGAGAGGGAGAGAGAGAGAGAGAGAGAGAGAGAGAGAGAGAGAGAGAGAGAGAGAGAGAGAGAGAGAGAGAGAAGTGATCTGACCCTCGTTAACCGCCGAAGGCGGCTCAAAACAGGCACAGCCAGGGTAGGTGGCCGAGAACTCGCGCGCGGAAGCGAGAACTCGAGACAAAAAAGCTTGAGGGTGAATGCCCAGGGTTCAATTTCGGCCCCCGGAGGGCGGAATGGACAAACCATGTCGCATTCAACAAAACACTTCACCAAGCGAAAAGCATCTGACACGGAAGCGTCGGCGTCGGCGTCGTCAGCGTCGCCAGACCGGCCTTCGACGCGGTCGGGGTCGGCGTCGCTGGCGCTGCCGCCACCGACGGGTTCGAACGCGGCCAGCGGCGTCGTCGGTGTCGGCGTCGTCGTCGCCGTCAGCGTCGACAGCGCCACCAATACAAAACCGCGAACTGACCCCTATCCCTACGATCGGCTTGCCAAAGGCGATGGCAATCGCAACGATGTGACCTCAGAAACCGAGGAACCCCTTGAGATCGGCACGGAAGTAGGGAAATGCCAAACAGACAGTCAAATGATCATTCGACGCGAACTACAGTTTGGCGACGGGGCCATTCAAAAATGCCGAGGTTGCAAAATCGCCCATTCGGCAATCCAATGTTTGGCAGCGGCGCCAACCACACATCACATCGTGACTTCGACGCACCATCGAAATCTGGCGCGCGAGTTGTTTGACATGTTCCCAACAGCGAAACTCATAGCTTCGGACGAAGAAAGTGCCTCACGTGGAAAAAACGAGGCATGCAAATAACTCTAGGGACAGGGATATGATTCAAACTGGTAGACACCATCGCTGTCGGCGTCAGGATATTATTCAAACTGGTAAACAATCGCTGTCGGCGTCAGTTCCGTCGTCTGGGCCGACCCGGGCCTTCGCAAACCTGACTCAGCCAGACTTCGCAGGACCCTGCAAGACCCTGCAAGACCCTGCTGGATCCTGCGCGCTGACCAAAGTCAGCACATTCCGGGCTTTGCAGCATCCTGCAAGATCTGGAGCTAAACATAAAAATTCAGAGGTCCGCGTAGATGTGTGGGATCGGCGCTGGGCTCCCTCCGCGGCGAGCGGAGCCCGCCAGGGGCGGCGCAGGAGGCGCTGCCAGGGGGCCCCAGCGCCGATCCCAGGAATCCGCGCGGATCTCCGAGTTCCGATGTTTATGTCATTGTTTGTTTCCCTAATTTGAGTCGGCCCCCGTGTCTACCAACTCGATCATCTCGGGGATCTTATGGCCGGGGTCAATCCAGACCCAAGTCAATCAGGCCTTGCAAGATCCTGCAGGATCCTGCTCCCAATCCTGGGTCGATGCGACCCTGGCCCTCCAGGATCCTGCAAGATCGGGCGCTATGGCTGAACCGCGTTTGCATGGACCCCCGCCTTTTGAGCCCCTATCGTCGTCGCCTTCCCGCCGCCACGCTTCGCCGACAGCGGCCCGCGCGGCGCCTGCTGTCGCGGGGCCCGCCGGGGCGGCGGCTGGCGCCGCGGCCCCACCCGTCAGCCAGCCGAGGCCGGTCGAGACCGCGGCGGCCGCGTCGGTGAGCCAGCCGCTGCCTGAGGGCAGACGCCGTCATCGTCGTCGTCGCCGTCGCCGTCGTCGCCGTCGTCGTCGTCGTAGCCGTCGCCGTCGCCGTCGCCGTCGCCGTCGCCGTCGCCGTCGCCGTAGCCGTCGCCGCCGTCGGCGTCGTCGTCGTCGTCGTCGTCGTTGTCGCCGTCGTTGCCGTCGTCGTTGTCGGGGGGGGGAACGTACATCATTCGTGCCCCTTTTGGGCCCCACGGAGACAACTGAATGGCCCCTTCGAAGGCACAAGAGGTGCAGCTCCCTCTACCCCCGCTTATCACCCAGCACACACCTCCGTAGCCCAAAGAGGGGGACATCTGAGGGATGGGATCCTGAGAACGAACTGCCCCAAACAATGCAAATACACCCTTGGACTCCTTCCTATCCTCACTCGGATTGGAAAAGCTGAGAGATCTGATGATGGGGGTCAATCCAGACTCGGGTCAGTCAGGCCCTGCAAGATCCGGCAAACTCCTTATCCGGTACCCTGACTCGATTCAATGCACCCCTGGCCCTGCAGGATCCTGCAAAACCCGGCGCGCTGGCAGACTCCCTTTTGCATTGACCCCCGCCTGTTGAGCCCCGAGAAGCCAAGAGCGAGTTTCCTTATTCGCGGCGATAAGGGCGTTATGGGGGGGGAATTGGCGGGGGGAAGCCGTAACGTTACGACCCCCCCCCGCCGTGCGGTTCCGGCGTCCGAGCGCACGACGACGACGACGACGAGCGACGACGACAACGACGACGACGACGACGAGGACGACGACGACGACGACGACGACGACAACGGCCACGGCGACGGCGACAACGACGACGATAACGACGCCGAACGACGACGACGACGACGACGACGAGCGACCACGACGACGACGAGAACAACGACAACGACGACGAGCGACGACGAGCGACGACGACGACGGCGACGACGCCGGCGACGACGCCGGCGACGACGACGACGACGACGATGACGGCGAGCGACATCGACGATGACGACGACGACGACGAGCGACGACGAGCGACGATGACGACAACGACGATGAGCGACGCCTCTGGAGATCCCCGGAGATATCCCGAGGCCTCCAGAGGCCACCTGAGACCTCTGGAAGCCTCGCGAGGCCTTCCCGAGGTCATCCGAAGGCCTCCAGAGACCCTCGGAAACATTCGGAGGCGTTCGACAACGACGAGCAACCGCGAGCGATTACGACCGACGACAATGACGACGACAAGGAAGATGACGACGACGACGGCCACGACGACGACGACGACAAGCGACGACGATGACGACGACGACGACGACGACGACGACCGACAACGATGAGCGACGACGACGACGACGAGCGACAACGACAACGACGACGACGACGACGACGACGACGAACGGCGACGGCGACAACGACGACGAGAACGACACCGAACAACGACGACGACGACGACGACGACGACGACGACGACGACGACGACTCGACGACGAAGACGACGACGACGACCGACAACGAAGAGCGACAAGAAGTTGTGACGAGCACATGCCTGCGAATGCGTCGTTGCCTCAACGTGGGGTGTAAGATGTATGCTCCTCCCTCTTCCGCCATCCTCCATCCTCCTATTGCTCTCTATCTCTCTCTCCTACGAACGCCACAAGTGCCTGAGAGCACCGCAATTTGCCCGCGACCACCGCCCCTATGCGGATCTCTATGCGGATCCATATGAGGACCCCTCTGGAGATCCCTATGCTCATTCCTATGAGGATCCCTATGCGGATGCCTATGCGGACGCTTATGCGGATCCCATGCGGATCCCCATGCGATTGCCTCTTGGGAAACCTATTCGGATCCCCACGCGGATCCCGATGCGGATCCATATGCGGATCCAGATTCGGATTTTTATAAGGATCCCTGGGAATCCCAATGCGGATCCCAATGCGGATCCCTATGCGGGTTTCTGCGCGGATGCCTATTCGGATCCCTATTCGGGTTCCCATGCGGATCCCTATGCGCACGGCGGCAATGCCGGGGACGCACTGGGGGCTGGAGCGTTACGTTATTGCGGGGGGGGCGGGAAGGCCACAACGCGCGATCTGGCTTAAAAAATCCGCCGGCCCCCTTATGGGGCCACCAGGCTGTAGGCCCGAGGTTCGCAGTTTCCTGTACCAGTTGCAGCTTCCAGCTTCCACTGTCACAATTATGTTTCTTGCCGCTTACTGTTCCTTGTTGACTTCTTGCTGCTTACTGTTCCTTGTTGACTTCTTGCTGCTTACTGTTCCTTGTTGATGGACAAAGAGACAAGCTCCAAGAGGGTACCGATACCGCTACCCCCGGCACCTCTAACAGGGTGCGTTCTGGCCAGAACTGCCGAGCGAATCCTGCGGTGGCCACGAGGGCCTCCCACGAGGCCGGAAACAGGCCAAAAAACGACGCCGCCCGCGTCGGAGGAGGAGGAGGGAGGAGGAGGAAGAGGAGGAGGTGGAGCAGTGGAGCTGTGGCCTGAGAGCGCCGTCAGTCTGGCAAACAGCGCCTCGCAATCTCCTGTGGACGACCCCGTCGCCTCCCGCACGCCCACCCGAAGTGGGCGAGGGAAGACGACGAAGCCGTCCACGGGCGCGGCTCCCGAGGGCCGCAGGAGGACGAGGAGGAGGAGGGTCCTCCCAGGAGGGTGGACTGCGTGCTTGGCCTGCGTGGCGCCAGGGGCCCCGTCGGGGCAGGTCCGGCCCGTGGCGCCAACTGGCCCAGCGCCACGACGGGGGCGACGGGCAGCGGGATCGGCATCATTTCCTCTTCTGCTGGATCCCTTCCGAGGGGCCATGGCGCAAGCGCGCCCCCAAGGCGCGCGCCGCCGCCAGCTCAGCGCCAAAATGGCTTCAGCCAAAATGGCTACGGAGGAGGAGGAGGAGGAGGAGGAGGAGGAGGAGGAGGCACCCCCTTTTGGCCGCCCTCCGATCCCAGGCGGCAGCAGAGTAGGAGGAGGAGGCAGGAGCTGGAGGACGCTGACGGCGACGACGACGACGACGACGACGACGACGACGACGACGACGACGACGACAGGCGGACGCGCGGCCTCACGACGACCCCTCACGCCCCCGCCACGGTCGGCCCAGCCCCGCAGAGCCGTCGCCCCCCCCGTCCCCAGGACCCCTGGGCCCCAGCGGCCCCGCCTGGCCCTGAACGGACCCACTGGACCTCCGCGGTAGTGGACTTAATCTGGGGCTCCTCCTCCGTGCCGACGTTGTCCTCGACGTTCTCCGCGTGCCCCACTGCGTTGGCAACAACATGGCCCTCCCGCTGGACGTCGTACACCTCCTGCTGCTCGGGGCCGCTCCTGACGACCACCTGCTCCTCGTTGAACGGCGTCTCGGCGAGCTGCACCACGGAGTCCAGGGGGTCCAGGCCCACCTGTACGACCTCGCGGCGCAGCACAATGCTCTCGTCGCCACTCTGCTACGTGACGGCCCTCGGCAGCACGGCGCACGCCTTGCCGATGGTGACGTCCTTGCGGAGTTGAGCGGCTTCCGCCGCGAACTGGATGACCTGCGTGCGCCCTAAGGTCTAGCACCAAGCCTTTGAGCTCGACGAGGCCCTCGCCGTGGCCGACCTTCGCCTGGAGCTCCACGCCGATGCCTGGGTGAAGCCGCCCTCCGAAACCGCTGGCCGCCCTCCGAGACCGCTGGGCGCCGTGCCCATGGTCTGCCGCCAGCACCTCCATCTGCGGGTCATTCTCGTGCACGCTGGAGCCACCGCACGGGCTGCCGATGTGGAAATTCTGTACGCCAGAATCGCCAAAAGACCCCACCGACAGCGGCTGTTCCGTAGCGCTGTCGTCCGTCGAGTAGCTGCGGTCCCCGCGGCTGGCCGCGCTATTCCGAAACCAGCGCTCGAACTCCTCCGCGATCTTCGCGCCAAGCCCAGGGTGTCGCAGGATGCTTGACGCGACATCCAGTTCCTGGGTGCGCCTGGCCAGCGCGTTCGGGAGCTTCCTGCCCGTCCTGCGGAGCGCCGTGATGCCCTTGGCGTAGGTCTTCTCGCCAAGCACGGCGACGACCTCGCATGACGCACCAAAAAGCCGCTCCGCCTCACGCCCGAGCCCAGGACGATCCACGCCGTCGCACGGGGCCGTGGCCAGGGGCCCCTCCGGTGGGGTGCTGGGCGTCACGGGGTCCGGTGCCATGGCCTGCTCGACCGTCCTCCAGGCCGCCGACTTGCACTCCGTCGACCGCAGCTGGGAGCCCGCGATGGCGTCAAAGGGCGGCCGCCGGGGGGGCCATGGCGCAAGCGCGCCCCGAAGGCGCGCGCCGCCGCCAGCTCAGCGCCAAAATGGCTTCAGCCAAAATGGCTACGGAAGGGGCGGAGGAGGAGGAGGAGGAGGAGGAGGAGGAGGAGGAGGAGGAGGAGGAGGAGGAGGAGGAGGAGGAGGAGGAGGAGGAGGAGGAGGAGGAGGAGGGGGGGGCGGGGGCAGGACGCGCGCCTGTGGCGGTCACCGCGGCGGCCACGGCGGGGACCTCCGCGGCTCGGGCGCAGTCGGCGGCCGCCGCAGGTCGTCGTCGGCGCGTCATCGCCGCCGTCGGCCCCAGGAGGGCCTCGGAGCACACGCCACGCCGTCTGGTTGGCCGAGAAGGTCGGCGTACGGACGCCCCAGCCTGGTGTCTGCTCCACGAGGGCCTACAGTCAAGCCGTCTCATGAGGATGCGCGGTAAGGATGCAAGGGCCTTGGAAGGCCATGTCGACTTTGCAAGGATGGGCCGAAGGAGGAGGATGCAAAGGTACCCTCGGGAAGGTTACCGATCCTTACTATGCGGGTTGTCTGTACGTGGCCCCCAGCGCTGTCCGATTTGGGCTTGGTTTGGACCCGATGTGCAACACGCATTGGGTCGGAGCTGCACCGGGTCTGGGACCAGATTGGCCCCGTCACGGGGGAGACGAAAAGACGAGGAGCATGAGGAGGAGGAGCAGGAAGGGCGATGAAGAGCAGGAGGAAGGGCCGCATGAGGTCCAAATATGGCCCAAATGCAGGAACAGCTGGTTTCAATCTCGGCGCCCAAGGCTCCCATGAACAGACAACGAACCCCGGCTGCCAAAACTATGGGATGCTGCAGCGTCTATGTGTCGAATTCCGCTGCTGGACATTAGAAAGCAACTCGCGGAAGCGTTAGGTTGCCCACATGGCGCCAAGTAGCGCGCCCAATCGCGCGCAGCGTGATCATAATGCATCTCCTTCACATGGGGCCGATGGTCGCTACTGAGCGCAATTAGCGCGAGACTCGGCGCTGCTATGCTATGTGGTGTGCTGCTACGCACCGATATACAGTCAGTCCAAGACGAGCGGAAACTTCCCTGACTTACCATCTAACGAAAATGGTGGCTCCGAGGCCGATCTGACTGGGAGTTTACAGAAGGGCTGCTGAAATAAGGAACGCTAGGTAAGGAACGAAGCTCCTTTTTGGCGCCAACAGCGCCTGGGTGCACAAAGAAGGGTCGAGGAACAACAACGGAATGACCTACGGAAGAGCGAATCCCGTCCGAATCCAAATCGGTCCTTATTTCAGCATCGTGACTGTGCTATCTAGCGAAGTGGGTGGCCAGGTGGTTGATCGGACGACCTGGTTGATTGGCAAATTCAAGGACCCCTAACCCTTTGGGAACGGACTTCACTAAGGAGGACCGAAGCATTCAGGGATAGGGGGTCTGTTCAACCGAATTATCAAACCACACCATCCACAACTAGTTTCCCAAATGCAATGACGGGGACCCAAGGTGGGTAACGTTTTCATTGTGTTATCCAGGCTAAGGTTTTTTTTCGACGAGATGATGAAGGGGGGATGGGGGGGAGGGCAACGTGCACCTGTCGTGGCCTTTTTCGACCCCAGGAGGCTCTTTTTAAGGCACCCCGAGGGCACCAGAGATGCCGTTCAGAGATGGGGCCTTGAGGGATGGGGCCCTGAGGGACAAGGTGCCCCAAACAATGCAAACGTGAGGCCGACGACGAGCCCCTCCGACGAGCGCCCCAGGTCCCTCCGGCGAACTTTTCCGACTTGGGCGTCGCGTAATGGGGGGGCGATAAAGGGGGGGCAGCAAGGCCTGCAGAAAAGGGCCCCATTAGGGCTCCCAAGGAAGGCCTTGGAGGGTCCAGTAGAGAGCCTTCAGGGCCCGAATAATGCCCCGACCATGATCGCCCCACCTCCCATTGAACGCCCCAGGCCCCACGGGCGAGCCCCTCCGACGAGCGCCCCCGGCCTGGGCGCTGGGGCGACGGCCGGCGGCCAGAGCACGAGGAGGGCACAGCGATATACAAGAGGGCGGCCTCCAAGGAGGGTGCGGAGGGGGGGCGGGCCTCGATGAGAGGGGGGGGGGGCAGCGACACATGAATCGTGACAAAAACCACTTTGTGCCCTAGAGGCAGCAGAGGTTAAGGCCCTCAAGGGTCCCTCTTGGACCCTCAAGGTGCCCTTTTTCGGGGCCTACAGGCATCCCTTTAGGCCCTACAGGGCCGCTTTTCCGCAGCCCTCGCTGCCCCCCCATTTATCGCCTCCCCAATACGCGACGCCAAGGGGGGGTGCTTCTCAGAGGACCGGGGGGACCTTCTCACAGGCCATCCCTGCTTCTATGAAAAGAAAGCTGCTTGCTTCTTGGAGGCCCGAAACTCCTTCTAAGAAGCGGGGGTGGGGGTTTCTCAAAGGGTTGGGGGGGGCATTTTCACCGGTTTGTATAAGAAGAGGGCTGACTGCTCGGAGGTTTTCCAAGACCCCCGCCCCGACATCTGAGAGGAAATCAATGCAGGCAGGGGCGGGGAAGGGAAGGATGGAGACGAAACGAGGGGGGCGTTTTTTGTTTGCCCGTAGGGCTGCAGCTGCTAGACAACACTGGTCGCAGAAAACCGTGCGACCACAGGCGTTGACTGAAAGCATCCAGTTTCCGACATCTGCGAAAACATCTGCAGTCATGAGGGGCTGCACGGGCGGGGGCGCGCAGCGGGGCAATGTGGCAAAGCCCGGAATCCCTGGTGCCGCGCGGCCCTAACAGGGAGGCGCCCGAACAGACACCAGGAAACACGAAGCGAAAAGAAAGGACCAGCCAAACTGCTCCGTGCGAAAGGCACAGCGCAGGAGCGAGACCGAACCCGACCTTGGCTCGCCCAACACCCCCCCAAGCCCCCTTCCCGAGGCAATGCGAGCCTCTTCCTCCCTGAACGAGGTGGAGATCCGCATTAAAGGGCTCGCCCACTTGCTGCGGGGAATCCGGAACAGACCGAACTCTCACAGGCAGCGGCAGAGGCTGGCCCATGGCCCGAAGCAGATTGAGTGTCGCATTGAACCGCAGGTCCAGCTGCCACTTGCATGGTAGCAGCACCAAAGATAGCTGGGTCCGAGGGAAGGGCAACTACACCAAGGCTCGAGCTCGCAACACCACTTGCTCCTTTTGTTTCTCGGGATTGCCATGATAGATCCACCAAACACGACCCTGACGTGCCCTTTGCTGTGCTACGGGTGGCCACCCGCGCGAATTCTTTCCGACTTAGGCTTTCTTGCTCACAAAAGGTCCGTACTACCTGGGCCAGGACAACGCTTTAAAAACGGGTTCGGTGCATGGGTGGCGCCGATCGAAAATTCGAAACGGTCCAACACACACGAGTGCACAGCGTAGAATGATCAGAACACATATCCAACACTCAAGTGAAATCAGATCTGGGCAACGTTGAAACCAAAAACGGGACTTACACACGTTCTAAGGAGAAGCGATGGTCGTCCTCCATGAGACTACAAGGGGCTGCAGCCCACAAGCGCAAGAACACATTACAAGTGTCAGGTGGGACTTTGTCGACCCCACCTCGTCGTGAACCCTGAAGGAAAAGGATCCCGGCGTAAGCTTCATGGCCACTTCACAGAAAGCGTCGGTCTATCGAACCCGACGAACCGTCTCTTCCAGAATGCCCTGGCCCATCGGATGCCATTCTAACGCAGCTCTGGCACCGACATCTGCAAGATGATTTCCATTCCTGCCAGAACTTCCTTCATCCGACAAGCCTGGCTGGTTCAGGCCCTTGCCCGCGCATCCTAAAAACTTGCGAGCCCCGTCGGCTCCAGCCTGGCTAATGCGCCCAGCGCGCGCCTTGCGAAAATGAGAGCGCACCCCGGGATCCGATCCATACTCGTTGACAACGTCGGCACAATCCGTGCAAAGTAAAGACGGCCATGTCAGGCACAGAACATAACCTGCGATTCCAAACAATTTGGCAGCCTGTCGGGGCTGCCGAAGGGGGGGCGCGCGGGGCCGCTGGCCACGCCTACGCGTGGAAAAAAATCGAACAAAAACAAAAGTCAGCGCCGCGCCGCGCGGTGAACCTCGCCAATGGGATGCTTCGCGCGGGATCCGCTTGTAAAAATAACGCATTCCAACGAAAACTCGCATTCGGGAGGAGCGACATGGCCATTCCGCCAACTGCCCGGGATGAAGATTCCGAGGATGCGGGAAGCAGCCCCGCGCCACTGAGACCAACGAACTGCGGTCCGCCATGCGGCCGCTGATTTCGCCCAGAGGCGCACCGCGGCCCACGACCCCCATGCGTTCATTCTTCTCTCCGAGCGGTGCATCACCACGGCCGATGACATAGAGCGCCCCCGTCACCCGCAGCCCAGACGACACCGCCCAAGGCGTCGATCGCCTTCGCTCACAGCGCGATCCCGCGCCCGGAACGCACCAGAAACCGCGGCGCGTCTGGGGGGGGAGTTTCTTCTTCCGGCCCGTCGTCCCGCATGACAAGGCACTGCGCCCCATATGGCACAAACCGCAACATGCCCGGATACCATAAGGCGAGCGAGACTTCGCGGCCCTGATCAGAAACGAGGGCAGCTCCCGTCGCCCAGCCGAAGCGAGCGAGGGGGCGCCTCGAGGCGGGCGCGTGACCAGAAACCGAACGCTTCGTTTTGAACGCTTTCGATAATCAAGCTTCCATGCGCAGCGCGGAGCTGCTGGAAGGAAAAAGCAAAGGGCGGGCATTCGCGCTAGCGTTCCGAATCTCTCTAGCCCACCTGAGGTGGGGGAGCGCCTGCGTGACCCAAACGGTCCTCCACCAGACACGCTAACATGTATCAACTGCTCCCCCAGCGTCAGCGAGGCTCAGAGGGGTCGCAGAACTGCGCCTCAACCTCAGAAGCTCGCCACCGTCGACGCCGCGCACCTTCGAAGCATGGGCGACGGCAGGGGGCGGGCCAAACGTCCACATGCGCTGGACTCCTGAACCGAATGTCTGACGTATTTTGGTCCTGTCCCTGGCGCCTGTCCGACGCTTCGGGGCCTCAGCACCCAGGCCCTCGCGCCTGCGCGGCGCGCCCGCCGAATCGCCGGCGCAAAGGTTGGGCGCAGCCCGAACGACGGGGCCGCCGAGAGATGGCCCATGGCGGCGCTGGATCGCGCGCCCAACTGCCCTGCTGGACGTGGGAAGGTATGTTTTTTTCCTCTGCGAGAATAGCGTCGCCCTCTTGAAATGCAGACTGCTCGCGTCAAT